CTTTTCTTCTCCTCCTCCTCTTCTTCCTCATCTTCCTCCTCCTCCTCATTCTCCTCCTCAGAAGAAGAAATCCTTTAAAGGACTCAAAACCTTGGAAAACAAAGTGAAGTTTTTGAGCTTGTATAGAATTCTCTCTATGGGACTGAAAAGAAACATTTTGAGCAAATCCAGTATCTTACATGACACCGATATTTATTATACAGATGGAGGCAATATTCCACAGAAATATGAACTCAGCTTAATAAATACTAAATACATTTGCTGGAATCTCAATTGGCAACTTTAAGCATGAAGAAATCAGAATTCTCCAGTTATTGTTTTTATTTCTGCTTTACTTACTAGCAGGCTGAAAAGGGGATGGCAAAGCAGATGGAGCTGCTGTGTACGCAGGCCAGCTATGAGAGGCTGCAGCAGGAGAGGAGATTGACGGCTGGACTCTTCAGGCAGAGCTCTGGCGAGCACAGCCCGGATGGGCTGCCCTCCGACGGCTCCGACGGACAAGGTGTGACTCTGCAGTGAGCTGGCTTCAGAGCCAGCACCGCTGCCTTCCAAAGAGAAGTAGGGAGAACGGCTGGGATTTAAAGCTCAGTATTTTGAAGGGATCATTCTATATCCCATGTCTTCAGCGTGAAGAAAATCTGAAGTCATTGTCATTCGCTTATTCAGAAGGTTTTTTTGAAGTGTTTTCTCTGTGCCAGGCATGCCGCCAAGGTCAGAAGGCATCGCTGTGCAAAGGGCATCCGTGGTCACGGGCAGCTTAGCTTCAAGTACATACAGAGCAGCACTGTGGAACCCTGTAAATAGGTCCTGTAGTTTCAAATATCCCTGAATAGTATAGTGGTTTCTTATGATTTTCTGTCTTACCTTCTAGCACATGCTTAGCTTTGTTAATAATTCCTTTTTCCAAGGGAGGAGCCATCTTTAACAAAAATGCATTACGTTCACACAACGTAACAGGCTTCAATATGGAAACTTATGCAGACTTTGTTTTTATTTGTTCCCCTCCCCCGTGCCCTCCCTCCTTTCTTGCCACATGTAACATCTTACCCTCTCTCCTCTTCCCCCTCCCCTAAAATTCCTTCTTCCCATATTATTGCCACTTTTTTAGTTTAACACACACACACACACACACACACACACACACACACACACACACACAGTTCAACCTGCAAAAGAAAATGTGGTGCTTGTCTTTCTGAATTTGGCTTATCGTATTTAATTTAATATGTGATGATTCCTGTCCATCTGCCTTCCTGCAAATGTCATTTCACTTTTCTTTGTGGCTGATAAAGCTCCTCTGTGCATCTCTGCCTCATGTCTCCACCACTCCTCTGCTGGTGGACATCTGGCCAGCTGATGTCTTAGCTGTGTGGGTAGTGCAGCAGTGAGCAGGCGTGCGTGCGTCTCTGTGGTAGCATTGCCGGAATCCCACAGGCACAGGCACAGGCATGGCCTCTCTGGGTTACCTGGAAGCTCGGGTTTTAGTTTTCTGAGACCCCTCCATACTGGTTTCCAAACTGGCTGAACCAGTGTATGCTCTCAGCAGCAGTGAGGAGGGATCTTCTTTCACACATCCTCTCTGGCATTTGTTGGCATTTGTTTTCTCAGTGTTAGCCATTCTAACTGGCATGAGGCAGAACCTCAGAGAAATTTTAATTTTTAATTCACATTCACATGATGGCTGAGGATGTTGAACAGTTTTTCAGATATTTGGGGAGCATATGCATTTCTTTTATGAATTATCTAGCTATTTCATTAGTTCAGTTATTAATTAGAAGGTGAGAGGTTTGGGTGACTAATTTCTGCAGTCCTCTATATTGTCATGGATGTTAATCCCATTTCTGATGTGTATTGGCAAAGAATTTTCCATCCAAATAAAAATATCACATTAGTTGGCATTCTCTAGCCACGGAATGAAACATTACCCTCAGTCACAACCTTAGGGTGAAAGAAAGATTTTTCTTTCTAAAACACAACAAAAACTTAACTTCTCTGACCCTTCTTAGTAGCTAAGAATTAACAGTTAAACAAACACAATTATGAAAGATTTGGTGGTGCTTAATTTATGATGCTATGCTGACTTACTGTGGGGTAGAATTTGCTGTGACGTTATAGAATATAATGTATGAAGCATTTTACTGTGTCTGCACTGATGGAGTTTGTTTTAAAAAAAACAAACAAACCTGTAATTGACCTGAAGCCATCTCGCTGCTATTAAATGTGTGGCTAGCTAATGGCATGGCTTAGAGTATGGTTATTAAGGAAAATATCTTACAGAGGTGGGGCATTAACCTGGTATTGGAGAGCTTCTAGAAATGTCTGTCTCTTGTTTGTGTCCTCTTAGCTCTTAGGTGTGTGCCAACAGCTTGTTCACTGCCTGGGCTAGCATCAACCACTTGCCGTTTTCTTCCTAATTTACTATTTGAACTGTCTTTTCCCAGCAACTGTGAATTCTTTGGTGCCTCCTCACCCTTTTCATTCTTCCTAAGCTATGTTCTGACAACTTGTGAACATTTTTCTACAAAAGCAATCAGAAAAGGAATGACAAAAAGCACAGTGAATGTTTTAAATGTTGCTTTGTTTTCTCTTTCATCAGGAGAAAGACCTCTGAATCTCCGCATGCCTGGTGTGCAGAGCAGGCAGCCCCATCACTTCATGGTCGACGGGGAGCTGAATAGGCTTTACTCCAGTGAGGCCAAGTCCCACTCATCAGGTGAGAATGCAGCCTGGAGCAGAAGCTGGTAGCCTCCCCTCGCTTTTTTCTTCCCCTTTGCCCCCAGGGAGCAGTGTTACTTGTCACACCCCCCTTGGAAATTACAGACTGCCAAAATATAATCCTTGAGGACTGTAGTATCCTAAAAAATGACAGGGAAGAGGCATGGTGGTCAAGGCAGTGTGACTGGCAATGGATTTTGACTTGTAGATCACTTGAGCTTATTAGTAAATGACTATAATGAGGTGGGCTGGCTTTCCTTCTCTGACCATACCGTGACGTGTCACGGGCACACTCTGTCCTTGAGCTGAGAGAGCCCTGAGTACCAGAACCTGGCTTCTCCTGCAGATGCATTTTAGGGTGAAGTTGACTGGTGTCTGTGACTTGATAAACACTCAAGTAAAATGAATGAGACAATGTTGGAGAGTAGGCACAGGCACCGGTTAGAAGAGCCGGGTATCACTCGGTCTTCGGGTACAGGTAACTCTAGGAGTGACTTGACCACGGCCCCTGATTTAATGGATGGGGAAGCTGGGGTCATCACTGGATTGTGTGCTGTCGGTAGGAGCATGGCCACAGCTGATGATGGGGCGAGGTTTACTATGAAGCTTCTCCAGAAAGTCCGTGTCTGAGCCTTTCTGTTCATACTCCAGCAGCAGGTACTGGAAAGGCTGGTGTCCTCCTTAGTGTTCTGTGCCCTAACCATTAGTCCACTGTTTCACATGGCTGTCAAAGAAGCTACGGGTGAAATTATCCTAAAATGATAGCAAATTGGTCTATCTTCCGCAACATGAAAAATCAATCTCTTCTTTACATTCTTAACAAGCAAACATGCTCTCTACAAATTCAAATTGCTTCAAAGCCCTACGTAAAAGAAATACTGCAATTACATTGGTCATTATTAGTCTGACCATGGTATTTCTGCTACATGGAGATTTAGTTAAGCTGGGATTTTACATAGAACAGAACAAAGAAATGCCTAAAGAAGAATTTTGGCTTTTTTAACATTGAATTTTAATTTTTATAAATTTTAGATATCTAGGTTATTTTTGAGAATTTTATACATCATATTTTTCATCATACTCTTCTGCTCCCACAATTTCTCCCAGATTATCCCCACCTCATTACTCATCCAACTTCATGTTCTTTCTCTTAAAGAAAACAAAACAAAAGCACCCCCTGCCTCTGCGTGGGTGCACGCGTGTGCGCGCACACACACACACAAAGACAGACAGAGAACAAAAAACCCCATGGAGTCAGATTGCCATTGGCCAATGACTCCTGAACGTGAGGCCTGTCCTGAACACTATAGTTGATAAGTACCCAGTGTCTGTCCATGGAGGAATACTTTAAAACATAATTTACAAAAAGAATGAGTAGAAATGACACAGGTGCCAAGCAGTAAGAGCCTGGTTAATTGACCTTGTAATGCCTGCTTCTCACGGATTCACCTATAAAGTAGATCCCTCACAGGGGCATTGTAAGCTGTAAACAAGAGATGATGGGTTGTACAGCCATTAGGAATTGAAGTAGTGTGGCTTTTTCATGCGCCTAAGTGCAATTTTAAATATCCTTCTGTACATGGAGGCCGCCTGCATATGTTGAATCACCTCCCTTCAAGCTAGGAATTTGGTCCCTTTCAAGGTGTGTGTGCGTGTGTGTGTGTGTGTGTGTATTAGTCCACATGTTTGCATGTAAGTAATGTATACATAAAGCATACATTGTTGAAATAATTATTCATAAAACTCCACGGAACCATTACTTATGAAAGTAACCTTTTCATTCTTTATTACCACTTTAGAATGCCACAGCTAGAGGAACTTTTAGTTTTATATTTAAACATAGTTTTATATTTAAATTTTATATTTCTATCTCATTTTTATGGAAAATATTGTAGCTATTAACATTTGTATGTAAGTGACCAGTTTGATTCTATATACTTACCACAGTGGACTAAGCATTTTTTTTTAAAGGTCTGTCTTGGGGCTGGAGAGATTACTCAGCGATTAAGAACACTGGTTCATCTTCCAGAAGACCTGTGTTCACTTCCCAGATCTACATGGCAGCTCACAGCTGTCTGTAATTCTACCCCAGGAGTTCCAGTTCCTTCACACAGCCACACGTGCAGCCAGAACACGAATGCACATTGGATGGATGGATGGATGGATGGATGGATGGATGGATGGATGTGTATTTGTATATATTTTGCCCTTACACCTTCACACAGATGTGCATGCAGGCAACACAACAATGCTCATTAAATCAGTAAAGAAATGAAAGTCTCTCTATTCACATATATTTCATCCTTATTCACATCCTTCTCCATGAAGACACTCTGTGTAAGGACACAGAGGCTCAGCTGTGTAACTTACCCTGATTAGTTTATACCTGACAATTGGTATAGTTGGGTTTAAATAAAACTATGTGTTTTCTTTTGTTTTGTTTTTGTTTGCTTGTTTGTTTTTCATAAGATGGACAGATCTTGCTGTGTGGCCCTGTCTGGCTGGGTACTCTCCACATAGCCCAGGCTGACCTGGAATTTGAAGCTATCCCTCTGCCTCAGCCTTCTGAGGACCGGGAACACGGCACTACTGTGTTCATCCAGAGCCCATGCTTTAAAAACTCTGTAAATAAAATTCCATATGGAATTTCATAATTATGAATAGTTAATAATATTTGCTATGCAGTTTTGGGTTTGAATAACTTGACTTTGTAGTCCGCTGATTTCATATTTCAAATTCTTTCTGATTTTATTTTATGTAGAGAGCCTTGGGATTTTAAAAGACTACCCTCACTCTGCTTTCACCTTGGAAAAGAAAGTTATTAAAACAGAGCCTGAAGACTCAAGATAGCCAAGATTCTCCCACTGTTCGCTGGAAATGGCGCCAGATTCAAGGATAATGCTCCATCATAGATTAAGCCTTAATAACCAGTGTTGCCTCATTCAGCTCAAACAGATCATAGCCAAAGCATAAGAACTCACACAGTAGTCTGTGGAAACCAGGACAAAGCAACAACCACAGAAGAGGAGAGCATTGCAACGTAACAAACACTGACCAGTTACCTTCCTGTGTAAGTTGTTCATGTGGAAAGGCTCAATATTGTAGGCATTCACTAAGATTGTACAACGTGTCCTTGTAATTTATAGAAGCAAATCTAGGTGTTGAGATGTTTGGTCTAGTAGATGTGGATACCATTCATTTTACTTGAAATTTTGTTGTCTACTTTAAGTGTATTTACCGTAAATGTTACTCGTCAGCATTTAGAACTTTTGCAGTCATAAATAGAAAGTCTAGGCAATGTGGTTATTGGCAAGGTGACTGGAGAAAGATGGAAGACAATACTCAGTTTACACCAAGGAAAAGACTGTGTACTTAATACTTGATAAAACCAATTAATAGGAAATGTGCAGCTGTCACTAAATAATGTCACTTCCATTGGTTTAATCAATCCACAAATTAAAACTTGGAGTAACATTTCCAAAATGAAGTAGGCTACATTTGTGACAGCTGCTCAAGATGTAACAAAGGTAGGGCGGAGGGCTTGAAGTAAGTGGGTTAATGTGTAAAAGCCTTGATTTAAACATGATATTTGAGAATATGTTAAATAAATTAAGGCATAGTCAGTTAACCCTAAATGTGATAAAGATGGTAACGTGGGTGAATCGACATGGAGTGTGTGTCCTGTTTTTAGTTCTGCTTTAGATTACGGCTGTAATAAATATGAGTTCCTAATCTTATATTGGAATCTGTTGGCCAGATGTTAGGTGAGGTGTCTGCACCATAGTCTGAGCACTGTCACACAGATAATCACTCTTCATCTTGAACTGTAGAGGAGTTTTACCGAAGGAACACCAGGAAACAGCTTTTATACCATTAAAGGCTTTCTCCTTCCTAAATGTTTCTATCAGACCACTGCATCTTGCCCACTGAAGACATATCTTAGGGACCATGTGCCTCTGTTGTTTCCGTGAGGTTGATTACCATGGTCTCACTGTCCACTGTGTGCTGAGCTAGTGGGATGTGTTTAGAATGTTCAGTTTGTAATATCAGCCACACTACTGGTTAGTATCCTTGTCCTTTCATGAGCTGTTTCTTGTATTCTGCAATCTATTTTGAAAATTTTTGTGGTCCTTTTTAAAGAAAGGTTGTGTCTTACAGTTCAAGTTTGTGGACTTTAACATGCAAGTTTTAAAAGATGCGGTAATCTTCCACCTGGCATTTGTCTCTCCTGGACCTAGAAACTGCATCTTTAAATCCAGAAGTAAGTCTCCTTAAGTAGTGTACTTTTCTGAATTCCAAGATTATAGATAAAGAAGCACAAAAAAATTTCAGTAGAATACAGTTTTTATCTTGTGAACACTAATGTATTAAACTTGCTATACATAAAAGCAAATAATATATATTTTTATTTGAATGGTATATATAAATTAGATGTTGTAACTAGTGATTTTTTTTTTCATTTTGTTTAAGATATTTTCACTGAACAAGGCCAATTGGTTACCTCAGTATTACAGCCAATATAATCCAAGGGACCATTTCTCCCTAAGTCTGTGTCATTCTTTATTGTGTGAATTCTGCATTTTTGTGATTCCTAAAACTGTTGAGAAGATAAGATGAGTGCACTTGCTTTCTGTGGCAATAAAGAATTTCCCTGCCTCACAAATGGATGCTTAGAGTGCTTTGCACAGCAGGTGATGTCCGTCCACCTTGCCTCCCTTACCGCCTGTCAGGGGATGGGACGCGCTTAAAGCTCTTTTCTTTCTGTGACACTGAGCTGAACCAGAAGACCTCACACATGGGCCAGGCCTCTATCACTGAGTAATAGTCCCAGCTCTCACTTCACTCTTTAATTCTGAGACAAGATTACTAACTTGTCCTAGCTGGCCTTGCGTCCACTCTGTAGACCATGTAGGTTGTGGTCACCTTGGGAGGCCTTTCCTAGAGTGCTGTCCACACATTTCACTCTTGAAATGATGAACTATTATTGGCACACCATTTTGTTTGTAGCTTTGGTGAAGCTCTGGATCTTCAAAAGAAAACCAACCAGGTTATCAACTCAGCGAGAACCCATGTCTGTCTCTTGTAGGATTCAAGGAAATATGACAACAAATGTTTAATGAAAACCAATGCTGATCCAGCAGTGTGCAAGAGTTTTTTCTGGGAATCCAAGCCCATTTATTTGCTGTTTTCTGTGGGCATTGTATTAAATGAGATTCTCAGTGGGTTAACAAAGTTAACAAAGGATGTCTCAGTGTCCTGACATTGTTATTGAAAACACAAATTAATCTCAAAAACCTTGATGATTACTGTTTCCATAGTGACCCTGCAAGACAAACTTTCCTGATACCTAAGTGATCAAAAGCTAACACTGTGCTAGCTTTTCATCTTTGAATGTGCGATGGCTAAATCGTCAGATTATGGGTTCTGGTTCTACTGATTGTGAAAATGTAGAAAAACAATCACTTGATTCTTCTGCAGAAAATATGAATCAGAAATTTAAGTTCTTAATTTTAAGTAAGTTCTTTTACATAGTCAACTTAAATATATTTTCTGTCTATCAAATTTTTACCGTAGTTTAAAAAGAATTACAATAGCTGGCTTTGTTATAAATTAGCTTTGTTAAAACTCCTTCCTTCTTTCATATTTCACATCTGTTAGGCCACATGATTCTTGAGTATTGCCACAATCTCCTTTTGAACTCTGGTCTCCTGGCAGGGTCTGATTCTTTGGTCATAATTTCCAAGATTGTTTTTCCGAGAGCCACGCTTACTTCCAGGTCTCACTGTAGAGACAGTAAAGCTCTAGTTTCTGCCAGGTCATTTTCAACCAAAGGAAAAGTCTGATACCTTTATAGTAATTTACCGTGACCTTCAAAAAAGAAACATTTTAAATAAATTGCAAAACACTAAGCGTATTTTTTCTTAGCATTCATATGAAATGCTAGTTACCATTAGTTTGGGGTTTTTAAATATTTAATTGGGCTAGTATGACACCTGCTTTTAAGCAGTCCTTGAAGGTGAAGCTAGAGTCTCTGTGAGCTTGAGTTCAGCTTGCATAGAAATATTCCATCTCAAAAGGAGAAACATCCATTGGTAAATAAAAATTGTATATATTCAACTATGCAACGTGCTCATCTAGCTTTTTTTAAAATCTTGTGTGTGCATGATACATAAGTAGCACAGGTGCCATGGCACTCGTGTGGGGCAGAGGACAGCTTGGTAGCACTGGCTTTTCTCTTGGCACAGGATTGAACACAAGCTGCTAGGCTCAGGAGCCACCTCAACAACCCTGTTTATGTACTTTCTGTACAGTGCATACTGATCGCCATAGACATATTAAGTACCTCAGTGGGAAAGAGGCACCGGACTGCTTGACTAGCACTCATCATTCTTCAGTTTGCTTACCTTTGCTAAAGTCTCAGGAGAGGGTTTTAAATTCTACACAGCAGCACAAGACATAGTTTTACATTGATAGAAATTGGGAAAGACATAAATACTATTTCAGGTCCTAAAACTTTATTTCACTTTTTTTTTACGGTTTTAAAGTTGAACCCAGAGCTTTGTGCATACAAGGTCAACACTGCCACCAAGCTATATTCTCAGCCCCTATTTTTTTTTTAAATCTTTATAATTGTTTTCTAGTTAAGTTTCTCATTGTGCCTTCTCCAAAGAATCATCTTGCGTCTTCACAACCCCAAAGAAATGTTGTAAGTGGATGCTGCCATCAAAGCCTGATGTTTCAGCATTTGAGTTAAGTATGGACCACTGGCTCAAGATGGGAATGCTACAACAAAGGCTTTAAAAAGGCCCAAGAATCTTCTTCATCAACTTAAGAGTGTCAAATTTTGACTTTCCTGGAGGTCCAAACAATTTGCTAATCAAGCCTTGCTGTGGTGAGAGCCCATGACATTATAAGTTAGACTGTGCTTCGTATTTACACATTCTGGAACCTTGTGAGTCATATTTGTATTAAGAGTTTGTTTAAAGTGCCTCGTTTAGCACCCACACACAGTCCTAGGCAAGGAAGGCCATTCTCTTCTGTTGCAGACACCTCTCTGGGCAAGTCACTTAGGCTTAAGTGCGTAGGAAGATGCTTAGGCAGTGCGTGTGTAGGTGGAGTCCTGCCGTCACTGGCTCGGCACAGGCATTTGCTACTCTTGAGAGGATTGCTGCTGTCACCAACTGTCACTTGGGTTCTAGCACCTTACCTGTTCTTGTCCTTCCCAGACAAGGGTATTGCTTTGTTAAGTAATGTTCTTATGCATAGACCGCTGAGTCTCACCATTTTACTGTTATTTCCCTATAACATGCATACCTCCAATTCTCAGATCCTGAGTCATACTGAAAATTTCCCATCAACAGATGATGCTGACAAGGCCAGCTTTGCCCTTTCATCCAGTCTTTTTGTCATTAAAACATGTCTCTACAGTCACTGTGTACATTTATCTCATAGGCAGCTGGGTGGGCTGGTACCTGACTGTAACCCCAGCACTCAGAGAGGCAGAGGCAGGCGGATCTCTGTGAGTTTGAGACCAGCCTGGTCTACAAAGCAAGTCCAGGATAGCCAGGGCTACACAGAGAAACCCTGTCCTGAAAAAAATATGTACATCAGCGGACTCAATTCCCTTATTGATAAGGCATAAGGCAGTGTGTGTGTGAGACCTGGCTGCCACAGCGACAGCTGATACTTAACTCCAGTTCTAGGGTCATGACAATGGCAGTTTCCAGTTAGAACTAATACTGAGGGTGAAATAAATGAAGAACACCTAATTTTTCAAAGAACATCTTTGATATTGTAACGCTTTCAATGGGAAAAAAAGAGGCGTTTCCTTTGCTGAGACTTAAACTTATTTATAATAGTTGGTTTACATGGGGAAAGGTCGCTTTTTCCCTTTGGCCCCTTATGAAAAGACCAGACTGCATGGTGAGGCACGTGACCCGAACAAGTCAGTCTTCTTAAACTAATGATAGCTGCGGCAGTGGGATGTCACAAATCCACTGTTGACTAGCACAGGGCCAACAGTTCACATTTAACCTGCACTCCAGCTCTGCGGAGGAGAAGACATGCCCCTAAGACATGTCCCTGGACACCTCTGTCTAGTAAAAGTTACCTTACAGATTAAATATCCAGCTTGTGACCGTTGGATAGAAATTAACTATAGCCATGAACCTAGGAAACAGGCTTTCCAAAGGAAAATTTAGGAAGGAGACTTTGGTACTCAGTATTTTTTTGAGAAGAATTCTGCGGTCCGTGGTGGGTGTGGGAAAGGCTGTTCTGCTGCCATCAAATAATAGAGTAGGCCAAAAACAGGGGAGGGAGTTAGAAAAAGGGCAAAATCAGTGTAAGGTCTGAGCTGGGTTAAGGGCTTGATCGGAGTTTGACCCCAGAACCTACGACAAAAAGCCAGGTGGGGTAGTACATGCATACAACCCACTTGATGGTCAGTGAGAGACCCTGTCTCCAAAAAAAAAAAAAAAAGAAAAAAGGCCCTGTGGGAGGGACAGCACAGGATGTTGTCTTCTGGCCGCCACACTTGCGTACACCTGTACAAACCCTCAGAAAACCCTGTGACTGGTGGTCGAGGTGTGTTTTCTATGTGTTACATGTGGAGTGCAAAGGAAGGCAGGATTCAGAGAAGGCAGCCAGTTAGCTACATTTCAAACCATGGTTCATTTTAACCTCATTTGCATCTAGAAATTACAGTGGAGAAGAGTCCATTCTACTGTCCTGAACTCTGTTTTCTTTCCCAAACCTAGTGTGGAGTTCATAGGAGCTCATTTACTTAAAAGCTTGCAAGGTTATCGCTACAGTTGTGACCCCAATAATCCAATTCATAAGCCAATGAATCTGATACTGGTAGCCTCATTTTATGAAAAGAAAAACTACCAAGAGATTCCAGAATCCACTGATCCTGAGGGAAGTGATTAATTTTCATGCTGCGTGTGGCTTCTGTCCTGATTAATTTTTGTAGTGAGGAAGGAAACCCCAAGCTGTTAGAAAAGCGTAGGTCTCCCCTTCAGCACCTCCATGCTGGCCAGTGTGAGGGCATCGTGGCCCCTCCTCCTCCTCCTCAGCCAGAATGAAGGCACCAGTGAACTGGCTATGCAGGAGCTGAGAGGAGGCAGTGTGGATATAAATGGCTTAAGATAATTTGAAGCCCAAATAGAAATATGTTTCTGGTTGGTTACCTACATGGAGGGCTTTTTTGTTTTTTCTTTTAAAAAATAAATAATGGCTTTTGGTTTTGGGTTTTTTGTTTTGTTTTGTTTTGTTTTTTAAACTCAAAGGTGTGCCAGACATAGTGGTACGCACCATTAATTCCAGCACTTGGGAGGCAGGTGCAGGCAGATCTCAGGGAGATCAAGGACAGGCTAGTCTACAGAATGAGTTCCAGGAAAGACCGATCTAGATAGGGAGATCCTACCTCAAAAAACATCAGCAAAATGAAGCAAAAACTCCAAAGTTTCTCCATTTCTGCTTTTCAGACACACCCAACTAGAACAAGAGAGGGAGTGATTCTTGGACCAGAAATATTTACAGTTGAATACATAGAGCATCATGAAAAATTCCAGGAATTAGCAGGAATTAGAAACTATACACAATGCACAGACCCATTCTTTTCCTTAATTCAAAGATGTTTTTCTAGAAAATGGGCAACAGTGA